TTCCAGGGATGGGGCAGCCACAGCTTCTCTGGGCAGCCTGAGAAGGTTCTGTGCCAGGGCCTCCCCACCCTCACAGTCAACAGTTCTTTCCCAAAATCCCATCTAACCCTGCCCTCTGGCAGTGGGAAGCCATTCCCCCTCAGCCTGTCAGCCTTTGGCCTTTGACCACTACCAGCATCTCTGCTGTGCTGAGCCCCCATCTCTGTGTGCTGCTTTTTATGCTACAAGATCTCCAAAATCCTTCTGAACCTTAATCCCTGTAGAAACCCCGTGGGAAGGTGATGCAAACCCAAACCAGGGCTCAAGCAACCAGCAGTGAGAGGAGCTGAATCTCTAATGAAGGAGACACCTGGTGATCTTGTTTTGGAGGTGAGCAGTGGCCTCACCCCTCTCTCCACCCACAGCCCCCAAGGCTCCCCCTCCCCTCCTGCAGTGGTGGCAGCGACCACACCAGAGCCACGGGGACCTTCCTTGGGGCTGCTGGAGCCACCAAGTGCTGCAGCTCCATTTTCTGAGGGGGAACCCCAAGCTGAAGATATGGCCATGTTTGACTGATGGCTTTGAGACTCGCTCAGAGTTCCCAGGAGGAGCTGTAGCTGGTGGGACATCCCTGCAGCACGGCCACAGGGCTGGTGCAAGGACATTTCTGTGACAGCAAGTCCTGTGCACACACAGACCATCAGAAACTGCATTTACTTGGGAAAATATTCTCTAATTGTCCCTTTGGAGCTTGCTAAACCAAGATTAGAGCAACCCCATGGGAGGGAGTGCTGAGTTAGACGGTCTGGTGGTCATTTCCATGTTCCCAAAAGTCTGCTCCCAGTGCCCACTCTGTGCCTGGCATTCCACCCCTCGTCCCTGCCCTGGGAAGACAGAATTTTCCATGCCACAACTAGGCAAAAAAAAAAGTGTTAAAATTTCCATTTGTGTCCCTGCACAAAAAATAACTGTAAGAGGAGTAAATAAATCAGTTGATTAGCCACGAATTCAGCTCAGCTGTCTCAGAGTTACTCATTATTTTGTTGGCAGCTTCGGAGTGGAGCCAAGTAGCCAGACTTGGCCATCCCTGCACCTCCCTGAGCACGTGGACTTGTTTTTGAAGTGCAGGGAATGGTGATTTTTGGTCGGGATGGCTGTCCCAGTCTGTGCCACGTTCTCTGCTCCTGGCTGGGATAAGGAGACCAACAGTAGTGCCTGGACCTCTACCTCTGGCTGGGGGAGCTTTGCTAGTCATGCTGGGAGTTTCCAGGCCCAGCTGATACCTGGAGAGGCAGCAAAAATAAACGTGTTTTGAAGTGTGTACAGGCTTGTGTAGGAGGGTGGAACATGTGTCTTTTTTCAGGGGGTGCAGGAGCAGCTCAGACATGCAGCTGTACAGGAGCTGGATCAGCTCTTCCTCCAGCTCTCTGGGAAAGGGGACACAGCACTTCCCTGGCTGATGGCACATGTGGGGACCTCAGGTGCACACCCCAGCCCAAAATCCTGTCCCCTGGGCAGGTCCCTCCCTGCCACACCAGCCATAGCAGTGGGAGAGCAGAGTGGACAGAGCAGGGAACATCCCCATCACAGGGCAGGCACCTGCCCTTCTGGGTTCAGGCGTCACCCCAAGGCGAGGTGGTGGCTCTGCTGCTCCATTAGATCCTCCAGCAGCCGGGAAAAATGGTCCCTCTCTGGCTGTCCCTCTGTCACTGCTCCTCTGAAGGGCTCAAGGCTTCAGGTTCCTCAGAAGGGAGTGGAAACAGGAGCCCCCACAGCCCTGATGAGGACTGGAGAGGGGGTACCCTGGGCAGACTGGAGCTCTGGTGGGAGCTCCACCTCCACCCTCTGCGGCCAAACCCAGGCAGTGAGAGGGGACTCACGTGTGAGCCAAGACAAGAAACAAATGTCAGGCTTATTTTAGGGATGCATATTTTTATTTTTATGTTTCCCTTTTGTAACTGTTCCCAATCTGGCAGCAACGATTTTTAACCCTTCCCTTTGATGCCACAAAACCTGCACTTTTCCCTGGAAGCCTGTTCAGGGTTGAAAGCGGATTTGGGTTGATCTGGCAGAAACAGGGCACAGAACTGTCACAACAGCTGAATGCATGGATGGGGATGAGTTGTTGTGCGCAGAGAGTCTTGGGGAGGCACTGGAGGCAAGGTGAGGGTCTGTAGGATAGGGAATATTCCTGCTATACTGGAAGAGCAGTGCCTGATGAGGGGTGTTGGTGCAACGCAAGGCGCAGGTGACTTTGGGAAGCAGCTGCCCTGGCACAGCCTTTGAGCCATCTTTCCTCCCTGCATAACTTCTGCCAGAGGCACAGAGGTGTCTGGCAGGGGCAGGTCTCCAGGCAGCAGTGCTGGGCAGGGTGGCACTGCCAGGCCAGGCTGCAGCTCCAGCGCTGTGAGGGTGGGGAAGCAAAGCAGATGGAAACTGGTGTTTGAGTGAGCTCAACAGGTTTATTGATTTTTGGTTCTGTTCCCCTAGGACGGGTGAAGAGTTTCTCTTAGCCCCAGATTGTGGTAAGACAGCCACAGCACTGCCTTTCCAGGGTGCTTTCCTGCTCCTGGAGATCTGGCTGTGAACCGACAGCTCCTGCGCCGACACCTCAGCCAGGGTGGGAACATCTGAGAGAGCCACCTTCCCCAGAACAGTGCTGGGGTGGGAGATCCAGCCCTTGGCTCTGCTGTGCTCCAGGGCCGGGGCACCCAGAGTGGGGGGTGACTGCTGGGCACTGCATCCCAGGAAAAATGCCACGGTGTGCAGGGGGATGCCTGGGTGGGGGAGATAGCACGGATATGTGGGTGGGATGGATGGGTGGGGTGGGTGAGATACCCAGGTGGGATACCCGAGTGGGATGCCTGGATAGAATGTCCTCTGGAGCCTCTGCAGTTTGCACAGGGAAGGGAGCCAGGCAGTCCCACACATCTGCCATGTGTGGCACCAGATGCCACTTGAGGAGGAGGAGGGTGAAGTGGTGGTGGTGTCTACCAGCAAGCACAGACCCACCAGCTCCACCCTGCACACCGCCTGAGAAAGAGCACCGTGGGGTGGTGCCAGCAGGGTGGCAAATTCCGGATCCCCGGGTGCTCTGTGAGTATGGACTGACCACGGGGGGCCTTTCATCTTTCGGTTTATTTTCTGAGCTGGGCATAACTTTGCCACCCATCTATTCCTGCAGTCAAAAAACCTCCTTGGTGCTGTTTAAGGAGATGAATTTCCCCAGGACCTGCCCTTCAACCAGCGTGTGCAGCGGCCACAGCCCTGTGGGGGAACCTCCCGGACTCTGTCCCTCCCTCTGGCAGCAGGAGGGATTGTGTGTCTGTGCCTCTCACTGCAGAAGTCAAACCCCTTAAAGCTTTTACCAAAAATGAAAGAAAATCTCAGTCTGGGCAGGGTTGGCACTTGGACCCATCCAGGCTGTCTCTGGGATGGGCTCCACCTTGGCACTGCCCTGGGGAGAGCTGCCCCGAGGTTGCTGGGAGCAGGAGGGAGGGGATTTGGCTCTGGAGAACTGGGTTTAAGATCCAGAAGGGTGAGACACAATGGGGTCTGACACTAGACTGTTTAGGCTGGCTCCCAGGCTTTCCTTGGACAGCCCATCTGCACATTCAGAGTGGGGGCAGAAGGGCTGAGCGCTTTAAAAGTTTGGGCAGGATCAGGAGCAGGGCTGCTGGCCCTACTGGTCGTGATCAGCAAGGTGAGAGCAGAGGGGTCTGCAGGCAGCCACAAAACCGCTTGCTGAAACATTACAGCAAGAGGAATGTAATAAAAAGTAGTAATGATAAAATTGAGCTGGCACTTCAAACCCTCAATACATGAGTGCGTCACTGAGCATCCCCCATGCACTGCTGAGCCCCCCTGGCAGGAAACCCCTGATTTGCTGACCCTGAGACAGGCTGAAACCAAAAACTACAGATATTTAAACACCCTAAAAACAAACAGCCTGGGCTCAGAGCCTGCTAAACTTATCACCTGCCCCAGAGCAGGGCTCTGTGGCATCGTCTCATCTCCTAATTGCTCGTGGAAGTAAAGCTTTGATCTGAGCTAAGGCTGAAAGTGTCTCCAAAACTCCCAAACTCCGCGGGTGTTTGAGCCTGGATTTGTAGGACTGGGACGCCAAGCCCTGGTGTCCCAATATCCCACTATCCTGAGAATGGTGGCTCCGGGCCATGCACACTGTGACGAGCAGCAGCTCCCGGGGCTGCGGAGCACGAGTTAATGATGGAGCCAGAGCGTCGGGATCAGAGCGGTGGGCAGGGAGGGTGGCAGGGGCCTGGCACAGTCGGCTGTGTCCCGGGCCCGCGGCCCCCCGGCCCTCGGCACAAGCTCGGCTTTGCCCCCCTGTGCCCCTATTCGTGGCTTTTGGCCTTATTCGCTGCCTGTGCTGTGCATGGAAAGCCTCCAGCTGCCGCGGGCCGGGAGCGTGGCTGCTCTGTAGCTCTTGGCAGCGCTGCCCGCGAACAGGAGCCCGAAGAGGGGCTGGTTTCGGGAGGCCCCTCTGGGTGCAGGACCGGGACAGGGCAGCAGCGCGGCTCTGCCGCAGCCTCCGTGTCGGGGCACCAGGGCATCGGGAGAGGGATCCTCTAGCACGTCTCACGCTTCTTTTTTAGGGTAATGAGATCAAAGGCAAATTCAAAGAATGGGAACACGCACTTCTTTTCAAAAAAAAAAAAAAAAGAAAAAAGAGGCAAAAATGTATTTGCTCCTTTTTTCTGCACCTCCAGCTCCTTCTCCCCGACAGAATTGCATCTCAGACTCCCACCTAAGCCGGGGGATGTTGCTGCGAGCTCACAGCACGATCCCCTTCGCCCTGGGCATCCCTGCAGAGGGGACATGTTCCCCGGGACACCAGTGGGCTGGCTCACCCGCTCGGGGATGGGAAGAGCCCGAGTTCCTCCTCTACTTGCCGCGCCGCCAACAACAAACCCCCAACAGCCGCTGCCCCCTCCAGCCAGAGCCCCTCTGCTCCCCGCGTCCCCCCGCCGGTGCCAAGGCCCGCTGTCCCCCGCCACGCTCAGCTCCCGCCCTTGTCCCCCACGCTGTCCCAGGGGCTCCGTGCCCGGCCAGCCCATCGCTGTTCGCTGCCTCCCGCAGCCCCACGCCCGGCCTTGCCCCGCAGCTCTCCGGGTGCTCCCCGCACCCAGTGAGTTTCTTTCAAAACTCCTTCTGTCCTGCGCCACAGCGAAAAACCACCAGAGGACAGAAGTGACGCCGGACTCCTCCGGCAGCGAGCGGGGTGGCGGGGCTGCCTCGGGGTCCCGGCACGGAGCAGCGCCCGGGGCTCGCTGCGGCTGCCGGGCCGTGCGCGGCAGGGACAGGCGGCAGGTCCCTGTGTGCTGACTCGCTCCTTGGCCACTCTCCGGCCTCCTTGGCCGCTCTCCGGGCTCTTTCCATGCCGGTCCCGGGCAGGCGAGGCCGGGCTGCCCCTACCCCGTGCCGGAGCGGGGATGGCCGGGCGCTGGCGCGGGTGGCTCGGCGGGGTGGCGAATGACGGCAAGCTGACCTCGGGCACGGTCCGGACCTCCTCGGGTGCGACAAAGCCGGTGCTGTCACCCCTCTGCTCGCGGAGGGGGGTGTATAAGCAGGGGGCTCCGGGTGGAGCTGAGCCTCTGCCCCCAGCCCGGGTCATAGGGCTCCCTGCTCTAGGGCCACCGGCTCCTGCCGCTGCCGCTTGCGCTGCCGCTTGGCCCGCCAGCACACGTAGGCGGCCACCAGCAGGCCCACCCCGAAGATCAAGGTGGCCACCGAGACCACCTTAGCGATGTCCATCTGTGGGCCATTGATGGTGAAGGTGATGCAGGTCGCTGCGACGCCGATGACCACGGAGACGATGCCGAAGGGGAAGATGCAGCGGTACCAGGATTTCTCGGTCCCGCCCGTGGCCAGGGCCAGTTTGTTGAGTGTAGCAGTGGAGTCGGTGGCCGTGGCCAGCGGCAGCCCTGGTTTTCCTCCCTGCAGGCAAGTGAGTGAGTTGGACTTGCAGCCCATCATGTTGACGAGAAAACCCAGGACGGAGCAGCACAACGCGCGCGTGGGATGGATGCGAGTCGCTGTCCCACCACGAGCCGCTGCCGTGCCGGTGAGGGAGGGAAGATTCCGGATCCTACATGGTCGCTTTGTCCGGCGGCTCGGGGTGCAGACGGGCCGGGGTCTTCTGCTGCTGCTCTCACTCCCAGCTTTGGCTCCCGGCTCCTTTGCTGCCAGACTGAGCGAGGACTGGAGGAGGACTGGAGCAAGGATTGGCGGTGGCAGCGGTGATCTCATGCCGGTGGGAGGACCGGCTCGGCCTGGCTGCCTATTAACTGTTTCGGGCTGTGAGCAGGCAGCTGCTTGCAGCCCAGCCGGGATCGCTCCTGAGATGTGTTTTTCCAGTCTGCATCGCCAGGCAGCGCTGGGGCAGGGACGCTGGCCCAGCCGTCCACCACCCCAGGGCCACGCTGCTGCCACGCCATGGCAGGTGCAATCCCAAGGGAACAGGTCAGTGGGGACTTCCAGACACTCCCCAGAGCCCCTTTGGCTCCTCTGTGTGCAGTACCAACGCCATCTCAAGTTGCTTTCTCTCCCTATGCCAGCTTTGTCCCCTGGCACAGGGCTTGGGGACCCTCACTGGGAGCCCGTGGTGGGGCACCCGGAGGTGACTCTGGGGAGGGCTGAGGGTGACCCGTCAGGGGACCTGGAAGGAAAGGGGCTGGAGCCGAGGTGCAGGGGGATTTGGGGTTTGAGGTGTTGCTGTCCAGGCGGGGCAGCAGCAGGGTAAGAGCCAGGAAGGCAGCATATCGGAAGGAGCTGGGAGCTGCAGGAAGGACAGGTCACCTGGGAAGGAGAGCCAGTGCCTGCCACAGGGCCAGGCTCTGGGAACTGGCACTGCACCCACCAGGGACCCCCAGGCACTGTTTCCTTTCCCTGCAGTGCCCAAATCCTGACTATCAGGATCAAATATTTTTAAACAGCAATGTTGAGCACAGGTAGGTGATGTTGGCTGTCACTGCTCTGGCAGTCGATCACACACTTGCAGCACATGGCAGAGCCCAGAGATGCCACCCGGGGCTCCTGGGCAGGGAGAAGGAGGAGGAGGAAGGGATGGAGACACAAACAGCCTGGAAGAGGTTAAGCACAAAATCCTCCTGCCCAGCTCTGACCATCAACAGAGACTTATTTCTGCGGGCAAAACCTTTTTGTGCCACCTTTACCACGAGTGGATCAGGGAGGCACTGAGACTGGAGATGGCACAAACAGTTCCCATCTCTTCTGGCTTCTCCTGCACTGTTTGTTTTTTTTTAATTGGTTTTCCTGAAGGAGAGAGGAAAGGAATGAGCTATTGCAGCAAACGTAAGAGACCTGGAGCCTTTCCCAGGTCAGAGCTTCCCCGAGCCGATGGGGCCCAGCTGTTCCTGCATCAACTGAGAGAAAGCCAAAAATAAGGGAAAAAATCCACACTGTCAGAGAAGCAGAGCTGGGCAGCGAGCAGGAGGCTCTGGGGCAGGTGAGATGGAGAGGAGCCAATGGGACTGGCACAGGAAAGGGGAGGTTTGGGCATTAGTCTGGACATGGGATGTATTATCCTCCCTTTTTTTGTGGGCACTGCTCTTGCCTACAGCATCCCTAGGGAAGCCATGCCACTCTGGGGAAGAATAGAGCTGGTTTGGATGAGACTTTACCCCTCTTCAGGCTTGCTTTGGAAAACTGTGTGAGACCTGGGAGCAGCAAAAGAGTGCTGGTCTGGGTTTGCAAGAGCCTTGGCATCTCTCCTTGCTCCCAGTTTCTTGAGTAACATCCATAAATAACAAAAGTGGAGGTTGATCAGGTGTCAGATGAATTCCCAAACTGTGCTCCCGTGGTACTGCTGGAGGCAGGCAGCTGCAGACACCCAGGACCTGGGCACAGGGGTCTGGCTATGCACAGAAATAGCACTGGGAAAATAACTCCAGCTAAGGCAGACGTGCAGCACACAGTGCTCTGCAAACCCAGTTTTGTTATTTACTCTCCTGATTGCTCATTAGAGGGGAAGAGCAGCAGAACTCCATGAGTCAATGCCCTCTGAGAAGGGAGGGCAGAACCCACCCTGAAGGCTGATACAAGCTCCATCTTCAGTTTCATGAAGCTTTCTTAAACTTGAAACTGTTCAGGCTTAAATTGACCCCAAACTGAACCCTTGAAGCAAATTTCAGCTAACACAGTTCAGCTGCTGCTGAGAGTGGGCTCTGGTAGAAAATACCCCAAGAACAAGCCTGGCAATGGGCAACTTCCCAAACTGCTTCTCAGGAAACCAGTAATGTGGTGCCACCCCTAAACGCAGCTCCAGCACCCCTGTGCTGGTCCTACCCCCCAGCATCCCCACACCTCCAGCCTCCACCTGTGGGGTTGGGAAGGACTCTTGGTTTCCCTTGAAACCCGACAATGTCAGTGAGCTGACAGCTGTACCAGCTTTGAAGTGGTGCTGAAGAGCAGTGACTGGCCTTGAAAAAGCAGGAGGTGAGAAAAACAAGCTCCAACTGGTTAGAAAACCATGACATTTTCATGTCTCCGTTCTGATCCATGAGGGATTTGAGTATTTGACTCAGCAGCACCGATGTGCCTCCTGCACCAGGACCAACCATTGCATTTGCTACTGTTTAAATCATCCAGGAGTAAAGCATGACACGTGCATCCATCAAACTCCTCCAGACATACACCGAGTTGTAGCTCACCAGAGAGTGCTCCCCAAGCAGTGATGCCTGCATGTCTGACCAAGGACCTCTAAAACTTTCCTTTAAAAGGAACTACCTGCAGAGAGCAGAGCACAGGTCACAGAGCCCTGCTGGCTTTGCAGGTTTGAAAGGAAAAGCAGGACCAGCACAACCCTGCACAGGGCTCAGGCTGGGACAGGATCAACACCAAGAAACTTCCCACACTCACGTGTGGATGAACTTCCCCTTCTCCATTCAAAGAGGCCAAATTCAGGCAACTCTTTCTCTGATTTTGCAGTGGGTTTCTGTAAAACTCACCAATGTGCTAAGGGAGAGAGGAAGAGGCTTCAGGATGGGCTGCCTGGTGTGAGACCGCATTTTTGAGCACTGAATCTTTCACCTTTGGTGGGGCTGACAGGCCTGGGTGCTCCTCTCCTTCCCTCCACACTCCTTCTCACATCAGGGTGTAATTTTCACAGCAGAAATAGAGACTGGCGTGTCCTCCTCCCTCTTCCCACGGGAGGAGCAGAAAGTGCAGCTGGGACTGGATGAGTCACCTTGCAGGAGCAGAGATGGATGGCACCCCCTGCACACACAGACACTCACAGGGGCCCATGGGGGTGATGGATGGGGCAGCAGGAGCTCTCCCTGCTGCCGGAATGCTGCCCTGAGCCAGCTGCAGTGCCCTTGGATGGGGAAGGGGCTCCAGAGTCTGGCTCTCAGGATTGCAGCAAAGTGATGCAGGAAGGAAAGAAAAACCTGGGAACAGAAACTCCCACTGAAGAGGAAGAGAAAGAACGGAGAGGGGGAATGGCTTTGGTGGGTGAAAGAAAAGTGGTGTTTGGGCAAGAAACCCAGATTCCCAGGAGGAAATGGTGAGGAAAAAAAAAGATGAGGAAGCCAGGATTCTTCTAAAACAGATCAATTACTTTGATTTTGAAGCAAGAAGGCCCAGGATCAAATATGATGCTGAGCAGCAGTAGGGAATCCCAGGAGAAGCAAGGTGTGGGAGGAGATCCACGTTCCCCAGCACCCAGTGTTTCATGGTAGGTCCATAATTATGTGGGTAACCAGAGACAACAGATTTTCAAAATAGATGTTATAGAGAGCTGAAATAATTTGGAGACCACATGGAAATGCTAAAACAAAGAAGGCAAGGCCAGGATGCAAAGACACCCATGTGCTGCTTGCCCTGTTTAGGGCTCCACCACATGAGCCCACCACTGCCAGGAATTATGCAGAAAATCTCCAGACCTTGAAAGTAATGGGGCTGGAAACAAGAACAAAAAACAACTTGTCTTACAGAAATAACACTTTTGGGCAAAGACAACCGAAGACAACCTCTGTTATACAATCCACATCTATCCCTGCATGAGTCCAAGGAGCAATACTCACTCCTGCCCACCTCATTGCTCATTTTCTGGTCACACAGCTCAAAACTGGGGCCTGAGTTGTAGAAATCCAGCAAATGGCAGCCCTGAAGCCTTCTTACATGGAGAACAAGTGACCCTCACTCGGTTAAAAGGCCAACAGACCACAGGCACTGACTTATAACACAGAGGAACGGTAAGAAACAAACCCCAGCAGTCTGTAAGAAATAAGACATCCCCACAAGGTTTTTTTTCCTGTGGCTCTGTGAGGAAATTGATAATTTTGCCTTTATCTGGCTGATACAGAATCACAGAATTGTTAAGGTTGGAAAAGCCCCTGAGACCATCAAGTCCAACTGTTAACCCAGCACTGCCAAGGCCACCACTAAACCGTGTCCCCAAGTGTCACAGCCACACATTTTTTGAACACTTGTGGTGATGGTGATTTCCTCACTCCCTGGGCAGCTTGTGCCAGTGCCTGACCACCCTGTCCATGAAGAAAAGATGGTGCAGTCCATGCAAGAGCCACACATTAGATTAAGACAGGGACAGGAAATACTGAATATTTATTGCACAACAATACCCCATAATAAACTTTGACTGCAGTGAAGAGCTGCAGTAGAACAAGAGCAGGAGAATATGGCATCAACAACCACGGAAGACTGTGGAATAAACCCTGGCAAAGCCAGCATTAAGTTTTGAGCAGCTCCATTAATTTTAAGATAAAGAGCAGGGAAGAAACTCCTCACGCAGCAGGAAGGCGTCATTAAGGAAGCACAGGCGGCATCTCATAGCCCATTTTAAGCTGCCTCTTGCCACGTAAAACTGGAAAATAGGCAGCAAAATAAATCAGGAGGCACAGTCTTGGATTCTCAGTGACCTAAGAAGTATTTTCCAGGTCTATGATTCAGCAAAAGGGAAATAAATAAATAATCAAAGCGGGGGAATACAGTGCCAACAGCCATCAGGAAGTGCTGGTCCGAAAATAGCAGCCAAGTGTCACCTTGATCCTCTCCAACAAAGACTTCGGCAACAGTGACAAGTTGCTGGGTGACATGGCCCTGCTATTTTGGGCCCATGGCAGTGGAGAGCCCCACCAGGGCACTGGCACAGGAGGGGACACCAGCACAGCCCCACCTTCCACAGGAACTTCCAAACCACTTCGAAATGAGAGATTCGCGTGTCTTACAAGAAGGACGCTTTCCATGGGTTCAAATGTGGATGGGAGCAGATGAAAAAGGATTGTCATCATCATCATCATCATCATCATCTACCTGGTGGTAGCTATGTTTCTTCCCAAGGTGGGGCAGACTGAGCTCGTCCAGACCTTCACACCTTTGGCTGCTCCTCTCCATCACCCTCCAACCCCACCTCCGGCCACACCAAATGTCCAGGTCACAGCACCAAGGCTGACAGAGCTCAAGGAGCATTTGGCACAGGGTGTGACTCTTGGGGATGGTCCTGAGCAGGACTGAGGGTTGGACTCGATGATCCTTGTGGGTCCCTTCCCACTCGGCGTGTTCTGTGATTCTGTGAAGCACTCAAACAACACTGAGGACCAGGCATGATCCAGAGACAGGGAAAAACTCCTCACCAGGAGAAAAGCTGACCAAAACAGCAGCTTTGGTGGTATCCTCTGCCCCTGAAGATGCTGTGGATTCTCAGGGCACTGCTTGGAGAGCTGGGCAAGGCACCAGCAGAGCCCAGTGACTCACAGGCCACACACACCGGTTTTAAAGCTCACAGAAAAGAAATACACCTAGAACATAAGAATAAGCTATTTTATTGTAATTACTGCTTAAAAAAACCCCAAAAACTAAAAGCCCAACCCCAAAATAATGCCATTTGCATTGTCATAAGCAAGGCTCTGAATTCCTCCTGTGGTAGGAGGGAGATGTGATCACACATGATTCAAATCACTTATGGTTTGTTCAGTCAAACAACTCCATTAAATCCAGCGAGTTTGCTTTTGCAAGGACAAAGGGATCTCTGCTGAGAGCTCTGTCACCTTCAAGGAGAAGATTCCAGAGCAGCACAACACAACAAATACCACTTAAAACTTGACAAACCCAGGTAGGTAAGACTTAAAATAGTTGCAAGGATACTGCCAAACACCCCAGATTTCCTAATGACACTAAAAGTGAGCCTGGAAGTCTCACAGAAACACATGGCTATGTTTAAATTGATATGATCAAACTTGTTTAAATGTAAAAAAATACTTAGTCTGATTCATCCCTGCATCCAGTAATTTCTGTCCCATTATGCAGTCAGTGCCATATTGTAATTAAAGCACTGTAGCCTATTTAGGGTTTCATTAATTTTTTAAAGGTATTTTTTTGTTGAGTCACCATCCCTGGAGGGATTAAAAAGCTGTGTGGATGTGGCTCCTGGGGACATGGTTAGTGGTGGCCTTGGCAGCGCTGAGGGAAAGGTTGGACTTGAAGATCTTAAAGGTCTTTTCAACCTTAATGATTCTCTGATTCCTGTGCTCTCTCCTGCACGTTCCTGTGCCTGGTTGGTACCCAATCCTCCAGCCCTGGAGGCAGAGAGAGGCCCTCACCTGGCATGACAGCGCCCAGCTGCCCAACAGCTTCAAAACCAAGATTTACTGCTAACGTGTCCTCTAAGAGACTCCACCTCCAGAGAAAACTCTTGTATGTTCTGGAATTTAGAACCTGAAACTGGAAAACAAAACCCCAAAGGGTGAAATCCTCAGACAAAGCACTTCTCCAAACTGCAGAGCTCCAGGGCTGTGCCAGCTGCACCAACAGCTGGGGCACAACACTTTTAACAGAGGGAGAAGGATGCTGAGGTGCTACAGAATGTTCAACCCGTGTCACCTGCTGAAGTTTTACTGACCTGGACACACACATTGGGCCTCCCTTATTTTTTCTGTCTAAGCTGGAGATCACATGAGACCAGTAAATCGTTTCCCACTACAACACGTAAGGGCTGAGGAGAAGCCGAAGGCAGCGCTGGCACAGCTGGGAGCTGGTGTTCTCAGAAACCAGGAGGGAAGACTCCAGGAAGGCTCTTCTCCAGGGCCAGGCTCCTCCACTGACTCACAGCTTGCTCCCATTTGCATTTTTCCTATCCAAACTCCGGATCCACTGATTATCTTTCTTGTTCTGGCTAAAAATAAGTCAAACATCTCCGTTTGCCTGCCTAAATAGCCCAGTGCCGTAATCTCTCGCCTTCTGAAATTACAGTTCAAAACTCCCTCTTAATTTGTCCCCCCCTCCCATTCCCAGCTCTTTATCCCCCGGCAGCTTCCTGCCCTCTTCTTTCTAACTGAGCTCAGATTGATTAACCAGATTTTTCTAGATTACGGTGCTAAAGCCCTTCTTTCTTCGCAGATTAAAACCAAGAGACAGACCTTTTCTTTTGGGTGGTGGTTCCAAAAATAGTAATTTTGTGTCTGCAAGGTGGATGGTAGAAACTTTAATGCCTATTTAATTAATTGTTTTTATGTTGGACTGAGTCATGATTAGGGTTTTTCTTTTGTGAGGTTGTTTTTAGTGGATGTGAAGGAGGACTAGGAGGCTGCCAGTGAAAGCAGATGTCAACTGCACCAGTCCCAGTGTATATGCTCAAAAAACCAACCAAAACCCACCTAAACAAGAGGCTTTGCTCCAGAGAGCACAGATTTGCAAAAGCAAGCTCACGAGCAAGTGAAATAATCTCGATCTCCATTTTACAGGTAAAAAGTGAAGAGTCCTGGTGTCAGATCCATCATCTGCTGCAGCCTCTCAGTGACCCCATACAGTGACAGGACTCAGGAGTGGAAATGCACACCCATGAACTGGCTGCCTGCCCACAAAAAATCCCAGTTGGCCCCTTCTCCTGGCTTTCACAAGGCTATTAAAGCGTTTCCCACTCGTTGCTTACAGTATACTAAGAATTAGACACCCTGGCAGTGTCTGGAGGAGTATTACACATCCTGCAGTACCCACATCCAGCATCCTCAGTGTGCTCTGCACTCTCATGGAACCCAAAACCACCCCTTTCAGATTTAGCAGAAGTAGACAAAATTTCTCAGCAAAGCTTCAGCTACAAATCCCAAGCTCCCATGGAATTCTGGAACTCAGGGAGAGATTGATTTGAGTAAAAAAAAAAAATCTAAAAACTAAAGGATGTGTGGGGAGAACAGGCAGCTCTCCCCAAGAGCTTTTCTAAAATCCAACCTCTGACTCAGCACTTTGCAGCACCATCACCCCTCCTGGAACCCCCTGACTGGCACAACAAGTTGCTGAGTCAGGTGTTAATGCTTCAGGCTTGACTCACACAGTGCTTTAATCAAGGAACTTGCTCTCTGGAACTCACAGAAAGCAGGAGAATAACACCACCAGCAAATCTGTCATAGGCAGAGAGGGCTGGGAGCTTCCCTCCCACCTCCACGTGCACCATCTCAAACTGCTCCTTGATGACATTCCCTTATTCCTCACACAGCTCAGCAGGGTTTGTGCTCCTGGTGCCTTCTTTCTTACCAAGACTCAAATTATTTCTGGTTTAGGTGGAGAGCACCCCTGAAGCCACACTGTTGAGTCTCTACATGAGGTGTCTCCCAGGGAGGAGCTGCAGCAGCACCTCGAGTAGGACCTGTATGATAAACCCCTCTGAGAGTTCAACACGATGAACATCCAGAACTAACCACAGCTCAGGGTGTGGCTGCCCCATCCCTGGGAATGTCCAAGGCCAGGCTGGACGGGGCTTGGAGCAACCTGGGCTGGTGGAAGGTGTCCCTGCCCATGGCAGGGGGTGGAATGAGATGAGCTTTGAGGTTCCTTCCAACCCAAACCAGTCTGGGATTTCTGTGATTCTCTAATTCTGACCCAAAACAACTGGTGCATGTGAAATCACAGGGGAAGGTCTGCTGACTGCAGAGTGCACCACCAGCAGCATCTGCAAAACAGAAACTGCCCATGAGAAGTTGCAGATGGGAAGGAGAGAAGGGAGCCAGTGGAAAGGACAAACTGTAGCAGCTGGAAATACTTAAAGCCACAGATTCTGGAAAGAAAAGGAAGAAAATCTGTCTCCTCCCTAGGATCCAGCTTCACATCCTTCAGCAGGATAAAAACAAAAACCTTTTAAAACTCTGCTGTAAGGAACAAAGAAGGAGTAAGAGCTGTTAATCCTCCCTGACCCTCACTGCGCTTTCTCTCAGCTCATGTCTACACAACACTGGGATCATCTATCACTTTCCAAAAATACTGCTCATTTCCTGTATTTCTGTAATTCTATCCCCTGGCATCAAACACTGCCTTTTGTCTTTGTCTCCTCATCTCAGTTTGATGTACCAGGATAATTCCTTCTATAACAAAGGCAGATTTTATAACAAAGACCCCTCAACCTCTGAATTCAATTGCTGTTGACTCTCAATATCTGCTATAGCACAAGACTTGTTTGAAAAAGTGAGTCATTCAAATTATTTAGCCTTACACGTTTATGAAAATTATAAAATGGGGTGTAGGAAGAGTAATAAAACTGCACCCAGAGGTAGAGAACAGCCAGTCTTCTGCACCCTCCTACAGTGCCAGCTTGTCTTTTGAGTTTCTAACAACCCCTGTGACCCCATTTTTGTGGCTCAGTCTGCTTTTTCCTGGCACTTTCACACCTCTGCAGCCCTTGCTGTGGCACTGAAGTTGCTGCCAAGTTCCACTGGACTGCTCAGTGCCGAGAAGCAGATGCTCCATGACTCATGCAGTGCTTGCAGACACAAGTTATCCATAACAGCACCATAATTAACAATACCAAATGTCAGCTCTAAAATTCCAACATGCAGATGTTCATGCCCATGGCCTATGACCACGCTAATCTAGGAGGCATGCAAGTGTTCTAGATCAGGTTGGACAGGGCTTGGAGCAACCTGGGCTAGTGGAAGGTGTCCCTGCCCATGACAGGGGGGTGGAATGAGAAGAGCTTTAAGGTTCCTTCCAACCCAAACCATTCTGTGATTCTGTGATAAAAATATAAAGCGGAAGTAAGAGGTGCTGATTTTCATCTGTCATATGAATGACTTTTAGTGAATTTCCAGTGTCAGAAAGAGGCAGACATTCTGAACAGACAGCAAACTCTGGCTGTGAAAAAAGATAAGGAATAAATAATGACTGTCTCAGCACTGCTAAGAGCTAAATCCCCTTTCCCCCCCAAGCAAACAATCCTAGTCCAGATAAGTGGTCTGGTCTAAGCAAACTGTACTAAGCTGTGCTAACTGTGGCCCTTCCTAAATGGAGTTTTCATTGCTCACAAGCAGAGGTTTTCCACCTCCCTCGAGAGCTTTACCTGGCACTGAAATTCCGGAGGAGCCGGGGCCGGGCGGGTCGGGGGTGGCGGGGCCGGAGCTGCCGCAGCGGCCGGGCCGGACATTCCGAGCGGCTTCGGCTCCAGCGCCACCTGCGGGGCGGGACCCGCCACTGCAGCGCCCGCATCGCGACACCCCGACACCATCCCGATACCATCCCGACACCATCCCGATACCATCCCGACACCATCCCGACACCATCCCGATACCATCCCGGCACCATCCCGATACCATCCCGATACCATCCCGACACCATCCCGCCCGTCCCAGGCCTCTGCCCCGGGAACAACCGCCAGACACGACAGAGCAAAAATCACAGAGTCACAGAACGGGCCGAGCTGGAAGGGACCCACAAGGATCACCCAGTCCAACCCCCCGCCCTGCACGGGCCCATTCCCAGCAGTCACTCCCTGTGCCCCAGAGGATCATCCAAACCCTCCTGCAGCTCTGGCAGCCTTGGGGCTGTGCCCACTGCCCTGGGGAGCCTGTTCAGTGCCAACCACCCTCTGGGGGAAGAACCTTTCCCTGAGATCCAACCTGAACCTGCCCTGACACAGCTCCAGCCATTCCCTGGGGGCTGTCCCTGGTCCCCCCAGAGCAGAGCTCAGTCCTGCCCCTCCTCTGCCACTGCCCAGGCAGATGGAACTGCAGGGAGGTCTCCCCTCAGTCTCCTCTTCTCCAGCTGAACACACCAAGTGCCCTCAGTGTCCTCACATGGCTTCAAATCAAGGCCCTTCCCCATCTTCATTGCCCTCCTTTGGATGCTCTCTGATGGCTCAGTCTCTTCCCTACATTGCAGTGACCAGGGCAGTGAGGTGACAGACAGGCTGGGGACAAGGGACAGCTCCAGCTGCACCCCAGCCCTGGTACCAGCCCAGCTCAGAGCAGGCACCCATGAGCCAGAGTAGCTCCACAGAAGGCACTTCTGCGTATGGCCTGGGCTGCTGTGCATGAAGACATGAAAAACAATTAGCCAGTGAATATTAATGAAATAGTGAGCACTATAATGCTGGTTATATGCCAACTGGTGAACAGAGTAACAAGGAAGCAGCAGCTCAGGTTCTCAGGATTTTTGGATGCTGGAAGGCTGTGGCCCATGATGCTGTGGCTATCTGAGCAGGAGAAATCACGTTTTATTGCCTGCCACACTGCCTGCAGAAAGGAGCCTGGTGTTCTGACTGAGGCAGTCAAGAATCCACAGCTGGGCAGAGACAGAGCTTGGAAGATAAGTCAAAACCAGCATCTCTGAAGGGGCTCATAAAACCTCAGTTAGCAAGTCAGGAAAGAGATACGGAATGACAGAATCAAGGAATGGTTTGGGTTGGACCTTAAACATCACCCAGTTCTAACCCTCCTGCCATGGGCATCGACACCTTCCACCAGCCCAGGTTGCTCCAAGCCCTGTCCAGCCTGGCCTTGGACACTTCCAGGGATCCTGGGGCAGCCACAGCTTCTCTGGGCAACCTGTGCCAGGGCCTCCCCACCCTCACAGGGAAGAATTTCTTCCCAATATCCCATCTAACCCTGCCCTCTGGCAGTGGGAAGCCATTCCCCCTTATCCTGTCCCTTCATCCCTTGCCCCCAGTCCCTCTCCAGCTCTCCTGGAGCCCCTTTAGGCCCTGGCAGGGGCTCTCAGGTCTCCCTGGAGCCTTCTCTTCTCCAGGTGGACATCCCCAGCTTTATCAGCCTGGTTCCAGAGCAGAGGGGCTCCAGCCCTCCTCATAGAAAAGAAGAGAAAAAAACAACCAAAATTAAGAAAAAAACCCCCATAACAAAAACAACCCGCTGAAGTTTAGCTGAACAAACAGGCAGAGTAAAGAAGTTCATGGAAAAGATTTATTACTCAGAACTGTCTCTGTCTGTGTGCAGCATCAGCAGGAGGCTCCCCTGCTCAGTCCCCCAGCTCGTCCCTGACCAGCACAGGGAAGCTCCTGCCCCCCTGGCAGAGCTGGGTGTGGATGGCCCGGAACAGGCGGGCAGGGCACGGGCTGGGCTCCAGGACAGGCAGGAGCTCTGCCATCAGCACCTGGGCAGGACAGAGGAGACACAGGACACACGTCACCAGAGCCAGCACACACTTCCAGGACTCCTTGAAGTGAAGTGGCTGCATAACAAGTGAAATCTAATCAGAGCAGTATGACTAATGGCATGCTCACTGATTGACAGACACTTTCTTTTGTCATATTTAACAAAGGCAGAGTTGTTCATCCTCTGCTCGTGAGCTACACCAGCAGCCACCCAGTGTTCCCAGAGCAGGGAGATAAGTGGAGATGCTGCTCCTCTGCCACAGGGAAGGCCCAGCACTGGGATGAGATCATATCCTGCAAGAAGTTAAAGCTGGTGTTGGCTCAGGAGCTCTGCAGCCACACAGTGAAGTGCTCACTCACCCAACAGTAAGTTCAAGCACTCAGGACTGTTCCTGTCACCTCCCAGTTAATCCAAGACAGATGGGTAAATGGCCAACTCCAGTCCAAATGGGCTACAGGGGTTGCTAGAGCTGCCAACATTCCCTGGCCTGGCCTTTGGTCCATTAAGCCTAGCTCAGGATCTCAGCCCATCTCATCTCAGCTCCAACACCACCCCGGGGCAGCATCATCAGCTCTGGGATTAGGACTGTGACACACAGCTCAAGCACAGGTCACTTCCAATCAGAGGACAGAAGCTGGCCTTTGGTGCCCCACTCTTGAATGAACGCTCAGGCAGGCATCCTCCCTGGGATGTTCATACCTCTGCACACATCTCTGCACAGGGACAGGGAAGCAGGACACAGCTGCTCATCTCTGGGAAGTCTCTTTCTACAGACATGAAAGCTACCTAAGGGGAAAGCTGCACATGAAGGAATGCTGCCCTGCTCCACTTCCTAAAAGAGAGATCCTTGTCTTTTCCATCCATCTGCTCTGCTCCTGATGTGCAGGAAAAGAAGAAATAGACCTTCACCATCAAAGAGAGTCTAAGAGCTACCAGGAGTTTCTGTGATACTTGGCATTCCTCCATGGAAAGGCAATGGATAGGCTTGGCCCAGAAATAGGTACATCCTTTCCCAGGGTATTTATCTTGTACCACATCCACTCATTTCACCTGTTCCAATAATTTCACTTATCTTCACTCTGCAGAGCTCCTTCAGACCCTCAGAGCTCACCCGGCACAAAACGCCTTTTGGATACATGTGCAGAGGAAACTGAGTCAGCCAACAGAGCAGCAGGAACCTGGCTTTGGTCACCACTTCGTTTTGGGCAGGAAAAAAAAAACCAAAACCTTCACAATCCATAATTCAGGATTATAATGCTGAAGTCCCATTTGAGGACAGGAGGCAATCTATCTTCAGCCAGAGGGAGCAGTGCAGCCAGTTATTAATAACTCCTCTGTGGCTTAGAAAAACTGACTTTTCCAAAGCCTTAATCATTCAGGTCAACAGTGGATGTGATTTCACAGATCTTCTCTGCCCTTTGCAGCTGGTTGAGAAGAACAAGTGATCTCTGTGCAGCAAGCTCTCTGCTGGGGCTGCTGGAGAAGCTGACACCTCCTACCCTGTTCTCACAGGCTCAGAATGGTCAAATCAAGATTAGCAGCACAGTGGTTTGAGGTTTAAAAGGAAAGGAAGAGAGCAGAGGAGTTCACTGGCTGGAGGTCACACAGGAGAGAATGCCACAATGGGTGCCCTTGTGGGACTGTGAGGGGCTGACAAAAGGGGCCTTCAGGCATTACCAACATCCTCCACTGTCAAATCCTTTCAGAACAGCTAAATAAAACCTTATCAGGAGAGGGTCAGACACATAAAGGCCTCTGCTCTGGCTCTAACAGAAAAAAGTCAGTTCCATTCACCTACAAAGACAGCAAGGCACTGATGGGACTTGGACATGAGTTATAAACACGGAAACACAACTAGGGGAGCTTGTTGCGCTGCTGCTCCCCATCCACACCCCATCCAGCAGTTGGTGCCCCACAACTGCCCTTTCCTTTCCCTGCTCCAGGAGCATTAACACTTCCCCAGACTCACCTTTTGTAAGGCAATCTCTTGGTGCAGCATTGACACTTGCAGCTTCAAGGCAAACAGGTCCCTCAGCTCCTGGAAGCTGGAGTAACACAGGAGAGGCAGAGCCAGCACTCCTGCAGTGTCACACATCTGTCCCCTGGCAGGGACACAGCTTGGGGAGCAGCTTCCCACATCCCCAGTGCAGTCTGGGCGCAGCCTCAGCTGGGACTCCAGAGCTGCCAGGGGGCAAGAGCAGGAAGGAGACAAAACCACACAAGTTAAATCTGCCCCTGCAGAATTTATGATCTACTTACTGTTCCCAGAAATGAATGACTAATGGCAGTGTATTAATCAGGGTAAGCTCCTCACACATGGCACAATCAGGACATCCTAAGCTATGGCATCCAGTGTCCCCAGCCCTCCTGAACCAGAGCAGTTAAAAGCTCCAAGCCTCTCCTGAGCAGAGGGGTGGCACACAGGTTTCATGGCTTTGTTTGCCACCAGAAAATTTCATGTGCTCCATTACCATTAAGGATAACCAGGGGGAAAATTACCTTGTCCACAGTGTCCTGCACAGATGGAAAACAGCTGTTCCAGCACACTCACACCTGACCACAAACGCAGGCACTGACTCACCTGCTCGAAGAAGCTGCAGCTTCTGCAGGCACTGAGCAACTGTGGTTTGCAAACCCTCCAAGGTCAGAAGGCTTTCATATTCCCCTTGCAGAGTGGGAGGATCTACAAGAGAAGCAGAGGAAACCCAGCAGGCGTGAGTATGCTGGAACCTTCCTCCCCAAACACCAGCTTCCAGAGCAGCCTTGGGTTCACCAGCCCTCATTCTAGGCAGGCAGTGCTCCTGTCCCTCAAATCCAGCACATGGCAAGGACACAAAAGAGATGGAACTGGAGTCCAGACCATCCTTATTCCACCTTCTGTCCCTCCATCCCCTTTTTTTCCTCCTTACCTGCAGTCTCAGCTTCCACATACTGCCTCAGACGGGAGGGGACATCCTGGAGGAGCCTCAGTTCCTCCTCTATCTCTGCAGGACTGAAGGCTGCCTTTGGTGAGCAAAACTCAAACAGCAGCAGCTTAAGGAAAGTTCCACAGCACCAGCTCTGTGCAGCATCCCTGGCCAGGCAGGCTGGGACCAGGGACAGAGGGAACAGCCCAGGGAGTGGCACTGCAGGGGGAAGGTGAGGACAGCACAGCACAGCTGTGCAGGGCATGTTTGCCCTGTGGCCACGCTTGGCTGGATCAGAACTTTTGTAAGTGCTCAAGAGCTGTACTGTGAAAAACCCCACTTCCCAGAGACCCAGCCTGAAGTGCTGATGTTGGAGGCATTACTCTCTCCAGCTGGGAGCTCACTGTGGAGCAACTGTACCCGGAGCCTGCTGGGAAAGGATACAGTTGTCTGGATCCTCTCCATAAAACGGGCCCTCGCAGCTGCTGCATCTGCACTTGTTGGGCACAGATGACATTTCTCCCATGCCCTGAAAATTCCAAAGGGGCAGGAGGTGGAAGTTACACTCCTTTGTACCAGACAGTGATCACACTGAGCTGTGACACACCAATGTGACACATCAGTGCTTTAATTACAAGCGTCTCCCCCATCCCCCTCTCTCACAGGTTATTTACTAACCATTCCCAACTCATTCCCACAGCTGGTATTAGATCAGCAAGGACACCCTGCAGAAGGCATTAGACACTGCAAAACACCTGTTCCTCTCTCCCCTTGTTCTAAAGGGAAGGATTTACAGCCATCAGAAGACACACAGCACGTTTCCAAAGCAGAATGTGAACTTGCAGTACCTCCCCAATTCTGTTCCATTGCCCTGCCTACGTTTATATCCCATAGCAAACACCAAATCTTCCCTTCCTTTCTTAGGAGTAATTCATCTGCATTTCTGCCCATTTATTCTGTTAGTAAAGGTGCACAAAAAGAAGGGCAGACAGGACAAGCTCTCACCCCAATTCCTTCATATGCCAAACTTCCTCAAGATTCTCCTTTAATCCTTTTTTTTGGGGACAAAGTTCTATGTTTGGCAAGCAGTGTGCCAGCAGTGTGGCAGCATCAGGGATGCAAGACAGAGGTTTGAGGACAGTATCAAGAGGAAGCTGGCCAGGAGTTCACACCAGAGTCCAGTTTTTAAAATAAAGCATTACACAAACAACAGCACTAGCAGAGAGATGCATTTCACTCACAGAGTTCAACATCCCCATGGATACACAGTCCCCATAATATCCTTTACTTAAGGACTGGTTTAAAAAGCCAACCTCCCAAAATCTGCTGCAGCGAGAGCCATCAGGAGGAGGCTTAAAATAGTTCTGCAGTGCCTGACTGTCTAACTCATGTGCATGTGTCTTCTAAATCATGTTAGGAACTGCACATTTCAGAAATACATTATGCAAAGAAGTGGCAAGATTAATGGAACAGGAAAGAACAGAAGTTCCCAGGCAAGATGCATTCCCTCTACAAGGGTTCTTTAGTGCAAAGGTTATTCTCAATCTGTCACTGAGTTGAAAGCAATAGTGAAAAGTATAAAATTATATCAGAGTGATTAGAATGCTGAAAGGCTCAATTTACAAGTGAAAATTAAAGGAATAAAGTCTTTACAACTTGCTGAAGGGCAACTAACAAACTGGTGGCTGATAAATGACAGTTCCCAAGAGGAGGAGGAATTCTTGAGGGCTATAGTTAGTTAAGACAGGGCTCAAGCTTAACATCTGAATTAAGCACATAATGAGAAATCTGCTGAATTATGGCAAGATTTCTCAGTGTAAATGTGGCAAACCCTTCCAGAAGACTGGAGAATGGACCAGAGCACTGAGCTCACCAGAAACCCAACCACCTGCACCCTCACTGCAGGAACTCTGGAGCTGTCTCTGTGTAAGAGCTGAACAGCAGGAACAGCCTCAAACACACACAGCTGTGCTGCTTCCAGAGGTGCCCCAGCAGGGCAGGGCATGGCTGGTTTGGGGACCTTGCAGTGGAGAGGGTACAGAGGCACCCACCCCACAGGGCTTCCTGCCTTCAACAGGTGGCTGGTACCAGCAGAGGCTCCTGCTGCACTGTTAAACCCACAATTAAAGCATTCCAGTGCCTTCCTGACTCAGTGATCAACAGTAATTAGCAGTCTGAAAATAAATTCTAGTGGCTAGAATAACACGAGCACACACATCCCCAGCAAGAGCCTCGCAGAGCACCCTTCCTGCTCCCAGTTCAGCCCCACAAGCCATGGGGTGGGGTCACAGCCCCTCCAGGAACCACAGCCAGCCACACCTCCCCACCTGGCCCCTCCTCACAGCCCTTAACAGAGGGACTGGACTAGTCAGGCTGGGCTTACCTGGAGTTCCTGGCATAGGCTTTCCTGTAGGGAAGGGGGAGCTTCAGCTGGCATCTGCAAAACAGGAGAAGGATCAATCCTGGCTGCCAGGGAGCAGTTGAGCCTTGTCTTCCAATATTTTGTCAAAATCTGGAGTTAATTTAGCTGCAGTGGGAGATGTCAGCAACCCTGGAGACTGAATCCACCACTGCCTCCAGCTTGTCCTCAAGGTAAGAGGCTCAGGCTCCTCTTTAATTTCCACAGACACCACTGAGCTGACCTGGGGCAGCTCCTGCAGCCTGGTACCAGCTGTCAGGGGCTCATCCAAGGTGGGAAGCTGGGAGCAAAGCCCTGGCACGGCAGAGAACAGGCCTGGAAACAACTTGTTCAGGGAAGCCGGTCTGCCCAACCCTGCTGCCACACCTGAGCAGGACAAGGCAGCTTTGCTTAGCACCACATCACACTCAAAGAAATGGGAAAGGGACATTCCAGCTTCTGTTGGAACATGATTCTTAACCCTGAAATAAAATGATCTCCAAATTGTTACTACAAAAACAGGTGGGTTGGCAGTTGTTAGTCACATGCAGACCAGGAACCGAAGGCCACCGTTGAGATTTTCAGTAAATAAACATTTGAATCCAGATCCCTGTTCCCCCAGTAACTGTCACTCAGTGTCCTGTGCCCCTTCCAATGCCAGGGAACAGGGATAATTTCCCTCCTGAACAAACACAACAGTTTGGGTTGTGGTAGCTGAGAAATATTCCTCAAAATTTCCTTGGGGCATCAGAGCTGACCTTCACTGTTTCTTTAAAGCAAAGAGTACACAGAAAAGAAATTCTTTAAACAAGACAGACTGGCCTGAATGCAAAGCCAACATTCCAAGTATTATTTTGCCACTTTTCCACAGAGAATCTCAGTAACATCCAGTTCATAATCCTTCCCACACCAAACACTTGAAACAACTGCATTCTATTCCATCCTGCTTCGTGCAGTTACATGGGCAGTGTCTTACAGGTTAACAGGGATAGCATTAAACTCAGATGCCATCACTGCAAACAGTACTGGGCACCTGCTTTAAGAGAGAATGAAAATTCATGCATTATGTATTATCACTGTGTAAGAAGAGAACAAATAAAAAAATCAATATGCTATAATAGAAAATGCACTCAGAGGAAAACTAAGGCTCAAGAAAGCTCTACAGAGACAGCTTTCCATAACAGTCACAGGGGACTATGAAATACCAAAAGTCTTAATTGAAAGGCTTTCAAAGTCCCAGCCATCCAAGAAGAAGCCCTTTAAATTCAAACCGCTTACTCAACCACAAGAAAGGCTTTTAAACTGCACAGGATCCTTCGAGAGGGCTGGGAGGAGGGTGAAAGCAGGCTGGGGCCCAGAGCAGCAGCAGCAGGGTTTGGAGATGTGCCTCTGAGTGTCAGGTAGAACACGAAGAGAGGTGCTCACCTCCCACACTCACCCCTTTTCCTGCAGGGTGCCTGTCCCAGGTAAGGGGCTCCTTCCTGATGCACCTGCAGCATCCTCCTTTTTGCTGGACTCTCCCAGGAAACCACAACCTTTCTTCCCTGCATCAAATAACTTCTGGCCAGCAGGTACTGAGTTCTTTCCCCCAGCTGAATCCCCCACAGACAAACAACATTGCTTCTCATTTAGGGCAGACTGGGATGAGCCAAGTGTCTTTTGGGGTTCAGCTGGAGCACAGACCTCTGTGGCACTCCCTTTTGAGGAGCTCTTCCCAGATGTCCTGGGACCTTGAGAAACACATCTGGCTGGGGCTTTCCTTTGTGGCTTCTTCACACCTGGGTCAGTCCTATAAGGGGCTCTTAGATGGTATGCAGAGGGCTTCTTTGAAGAGCCAGGCTTTTTGCTTCCAGTTCCCACCTTTGTGCTCTCAGGAACATCCTCGACAGGTACAGGCACCTGCTGCTCTTCAGCCTTCTTGCCAGCAGGGCCCTCACCTGCCAATTTCTTTTCTGTAGCTCCCGAGGCCTCTAATGGAATTTTCAAGATGCTTTTCCTGACTTTCAGTGCCTTCTCCAAGGCCCTGTTCAGCAGTTCCAGCTCCTCCAGCTCCTTGGGTGAAGGCCTGTTCTCTGCAAGAGGAGATGACACGTCAGAAGGTCCAACCCTGGATCTTGCCCATTTGTCTCTTCACTAATCTGCTTTGCCATGTGCTACAGAAGGGAACCAGACACAATGAATGGTGCAGGGAGTACTTTTTTTCGGCTGTGAGAGCAGCCACTGCACACAGGATACAGGCAGGATGCAGCAAGCCTCCAAGACAGGATGGGTGTGAGCCACAGAAGAGAGTTCTGCAGAATCAACCTCAGCAAGTGACACACCTGGGTCAGGCCCACAGACATCTCACCACGGGCCTGGGTTACCGAGGCAGGACGCCAAACTAACTCCAAGTGGGAGGGAAAAGGGGGGGGGGGGGTTAAGTCGCTGCAGAGAAGTGGAACGGCTCCTAACACCGAACCTGGCTCAGCCCCGGTGCGACCTGAGAGGCCCCCGGGCCGGGGGAAGCGCTCACCGTGTCCAGCGCCGGAGCCGGGCTGTGCCTGCGGCTGCTCCTCCTCCTCCTCCTCAGCGTCCCTGGGGGAACAAACAGCGCCGGGGCCGGCGATGCTGCACCGGGACCGGACCCTCCCGCCCGGCCCAAGGGGACCGGGGCTGAGGGCAGCGGGGTGTGCCGCGGGCCGGCCCCGCACTCACCATGGCCGCAGCAGCGCCCGGCCCCGCACTCACCATGGCCGCAGCAGCGCCCGGCCCCGCACTCACCATGGCCGCAGCAGCGCCCGGCCCCGCACTCACCATGGCCGCAGCAGCGCCCGGCCCCGCTCCGCCCGCCGCTCCAGCTCCCGCCGCCGCTCCGCGCCCGCGCCCAGCGCCGCCCTCAGCGCCGCCGCCGCCCTGCGAGGCCCAGCGCGCTCAGCGGGGCCCGGACCGCTCCCGGCCCCGGGCGCGGCCCGGTGTCCCCGCTCCCCCCCGGTCCCCGCTCACCGCCCGCCGCAGCCCGCGGGCAGCATCGCCCCGGCCGGGCCCGGCCGCTCCGCCCGCGCTCCCTCCCGGCGGCCCTGCCAGGACCTGCGGAGAGGGCGGAGCGAGGCCCGCGCGGCCGAGGGCGGGAGCGGCCCCGGGGAGAGCCCGGGGGATTCCGGGACATCCCGGGCCCGGGGATCGCTGTCCCTGCCCGGGGGTCTCGGGGGGTCCCGGGGGTCGCTGTGCCTGCCTGGCACGGCCCAACCAGTGCCGGGGATCCCCCGCCGGACCCGGGGAAGCCGCTTTTCCCTCCGCTGCGTCCGGCGCTTCCCGCTCGGCAGCGCCTCTGCGGGGCTCGGGCGGCGCGGGCCGGTCCGGCAGCCCCCGGTACCCGCATCTCCCGCGGCCAGGCCGTGAGCGGGGCTCATCCCCCCCGGTACCCGCATCTCCCGCGGCCAGGCCGTGAGCGGGGCTTATCCCCCCCGGTACCCGCATCTCCCGCGGCCAGGCCGTGAGCGGGGCTCATCCCCCCCGGTACCCGCATCTCCCGCGGCCAGGCCGTGAGCGGGGCTCATCCCCCCGGCCTGGGCGGTGGGGCTGAGGGGGAGCCCGCAGAGAGCAGGGGCACAGAGCCGCCGTGGCGGCGGGGATGGAGCCCCCCGGGTGCCGCGCAGCGCCCGCAGCCGGAGGGTGTTATAAGTAAATGAAATTAGGCTGAAATATAGTAATAAAATTTATTGAAGATTTATGTAAAATGCAAATAAGCAAAACAGCATGCTGGGCGGCCGGGGAGGCCCCTGCTCCACTCACGGCACGCAGGCACAGTAGGCAAAAACAGTAATTTTATTCCCTTATCAGTTCCCTTCCCATAGTCACTTGTTACCCTTCTATTGGATCCGAGTTTGCAGGTCTGGTTCTGGTTGGCTTCCCTGCAGGCCCCTTTCAGTTGCCAGGTGCTTTCCTTTCCATAGTTTTAATTAGTCCTTAGTCCTTGAGGCCCAGTGTGTAGCTTAGTGTGTCGGTATCTCCAGATGTCCATTTTGGATACTCTGTATCATTCTCGTTCTTGACCCTTCGTTACTTTATGCGTGTGCTATGAGACAATAAGCTTTTTATAAAAATAAGATACAAAATACTTATTCAGCAAGGCACAATAATTTGTCTTTCCAGCTTAAGAACTGCAGGCTGTATGACTATCAGCTTACAATGCTGACAGGTTAATGAACCATTCTGCAACTTACAGTCTCCCAACCTTAACAGAACATTGATTATAATAACATATATACATATATAAGAATATAATATGCAATACTATATAGGTATATAAGAATATAATATGCAATACAATTTAATGAGTAAACTACTACTACTAATTTGATGAGTAAATTTAAACTACTACTAATTTATTACAAGGGGAAGCGGGGCCGTGCAGGGGCCGTGTGTGAGCCCGGTCCCCGAGGGCTCCCCCAAGCAAGGACCGACAGCCCGGCCACCAACAATCCAAACCGCTGCTGCCGCCCTTGGTTTGCATCGGCGAAGAGGTTTTTGTGATGGAGGAATCTGCCCTGTCCTGCGGCTGTGGGAGCTGCCCGGTTGGCAGCGCTGGGATCCCGACGGGAATACAGCTACTGCTGCCGAGCGCTGCAGTTCCCCAAAAGTGCCCGTAGCTGGCACTCGGCGATGCCTGTTCCAGGCAGCCGAGCAGCAGGGATCCCGTCCTCCACTTTGCACAGCACAATGAAAATTAACAAAAGTTTGTAAAGTAGGAAAGAAGTGGTTCTTTGCCTTCGAGGGCTGAATCTTCAGGTTGAGATGCCCTTGATTCTCTGCAGCCATGTGATCACAGACTCTTCTAAAGAGAAAAAGTTCAGAATTAGAGGCTACACATGGAGACAGGACTTAAAAAAAACCCCAAAACTATAAAACATTACAAGGCTGGCCCCATCTTGCTCCATTCTTGCAAATGTATGTGAGTTCACTGTCAGAACACTGTGAACAGTTCTGCTTCTGAGGTAGGAGCCAAGACAGAGCCCATTTGGCTCTTCCAGGGCTCAGCGGGCTCAGCAGGGCTGACAGGGGGTATCAGACACTTAAAGTAGTTTAATCAGCAAAATCAAGAGATGTAATGCTGTGAGACCGTGGAGAACAGCAGTGGGACAAAAAGAGCTCATTCTCAGACATCTTCTCTAGAATCATGGAATATTATGTGTTGGAAGGGATGCACAAGGATCATCAAGTCCAACTCCTGGCCCTGCCCAGGACACCCCAGCAATCCCACCCTGTGCCTGAGAGTGTTGTCCAAACACTCCTGGAGCTCTGTCAGCCTTGGGGCTGTGCCCACTGCCCTGGGGAGCCTGTTCAGTGCCAACCACCCTCTGGGGGAAGAACCTTTTCCTGATATCAAACTTATCCCTCCCCTGACACAGCTCCAGCCATTCCTTTGGGTCCTGTCTCTGGTCACAGGGAGCACAGATTGGAGCTGCCCCTCCAATGCCCCTCCTGAGGAAGCTGCAGGCCCTGATGAAGTCTGACCTCAGGCTCCTCTTCTTCAGCTGAACAAGGCAAGTGACCTCAGCTGTTCCTCAGACACCTTCCTCCCTAGACCCTTCACCATCCTCCTTTTTTTCTGATACCTTCAGATCCTTCTCATATTGTGGTTCCCAAAGCTGCTACCCAGGGCAGGTGGATTCCTGCAGCTGGGACTGGCTGGGACATGGAGTCCCACCAACAGCTCCTGGAGTCACCAGCATGGCCCAGGGGGGCACAGCCAGGGCCATGAGAGTGACACAGCTCCTCAGGCACCTGCATGCTGTTGACATTTAAGTTATTCAAAACAGCCAAAAAAGGCATCAGGGTGCTGTAATCTGGGGCCTGGAGCAGCACTACTGACACCACTACCTTTACATCAAATGTCTCTGTGGTTTAGAAGTGCTAAAAATGATCCCCCAAATCCCAATGATCCCTTTGTATTGGGGATGTGCAACCCCTCCTGAGCCTCTGGTTTTAGCAGGCAGTAAGATTCCTACTAAAGGACAAGAAAGCTTTATACAGGTCCTTTGTTGTTGATCTGCACCTTGCTGGGAAGAAGGACAGGTGACTGTCTGCTTGTTGACTTGGAGTTAAGATCAGGGTGAGGCAAATGCTGCTGCCACCACAAGATTAGGAGTGGCAGCATGGCAGGAGGTGGGGAGGGAGAGGCTCTACCTGCCCCTTCCAGCTGCAGCAAGAGCTGGTGAAACCATGGCAGGGGTGCTGGGGTGAGGTGATAATTAGCAGAAACTTCTTGACAGAGATAAACCCACTCCACTGCTGACACCCAGGGCTCAAAGGTGCGACACTGACACTGGGCATCACAGCCCAGCCACTCCCACAGCCCTCTCCCACTCCCTCCACACCTCTGTGATGGGTTCCTGCTGCCTCACCTTCAGAGGAGTCCTGCAACAGGGCAGCTGCTGGGTAAATCAGTTCCTTCCTTCTCTTGTGGGGGGTTGGCTTCCCAGTAGATTATCTGGCAAAGCCATTTGAGGAAAAGGCCAATGTGTGTGTATCTGACTGTCTTCACTGACAGCAGCTTGTCCTAAAAGAGGTAAATGCAGCAAAGAGCCATATTCTGTTAATGTAGCAATGAGACGCTGCCCCAGTACAGACCTGTTCTGGCCCAGTTGGTCCAGGACACATTTGTGGCAGGGGCTGGATTTTAAGCTAACAGAGTCTAAATGTGTTTACCTCATGATGTTGCTTGCTGAGGAAATGCTGAGTACCTCAACAGAGCACACATGCTGAGTAACTGGTGCAAATTACTACTTAAAGGTTCAATTACAAAAGATGTATAGGTTAAAATACCCATGTGATGTACAAGGGGCAGTTTCTGGTAGTCACAGCTCTGCCACCAGTTTATTTTTGGGACCTGCAGTGAAGAGGCATCTTGCAAAGGTGAGATGTAGTGGAAGTTACCGTGTCAGCACTGATTCTCAGGTGATGTTCTGCAATACCTTTCTTTTTTTCTGAGAGTCCAGTACCTGTAGACTAATAAAAATAACCATCCAAGCCCTGGGATCTCCTGCTGGGTGTCTCTGATAGCTCTGTCCACAGCCCTAGGGTAAAATGCAAGGAGGCATCACAATTCAAAGAGCAGCAAACAGGAAAGAAAAAGAAGCAGGAGATAAACTTCATCACTAATAAACCTCCCCACACTTATTTCTGATGTTATATTACATCAGCTGCCTTGTCCTGTGTGCTGCCCATGGAGAACAGGGCTGTTTGCTGAGCTGACACAGGAAGATCCTCCCTGTATATACCGGGATGTCATGGTTGAAGCTCAGCTGAGAACTCAACCCCAAGCTGTTCACTCCTCCCCAGAGGGAGGGAGACAGAATCATTAAGGGCAAAAGTGAGAAAACTTGTGAATTGAGATAAAGGCAGTTTAATAGGGAATGCAAAAGCCACACAAGCAATGCAAAACAAGGAATTCATTGCCCTTTCCCCTGGGCAGGCAGGTGAACACCATCCCCAGGACAGCCGGGCTCCATCACACAGAACAGTTACCGGGGAGGTCAAACACCATCACCCTCAATGTCCACCCCTTCCTTCTTCTTCCCCCCAGCTTTGTTTGCTCAGCATGATGCCAAATGGCTTGGGATACCCCTGTGCTCAGTTGGGATCAGCTGTCCTGGCTGTGTCCCCCCCAGCTCCTTGTGCACCCCCAGCCCCCTCGCTGGCAGTGTGGGGTGAGGAGCAGCCAAGGCCTTGAGGCTGTGTAAGCCCTGCTCAGCAGTGACCACAACATCCCTGGGTTATCACTCTGTTTGCAGCACAAATCCAAACAATCCTGTCCCAGCTACTCTGGAGAAAATTAACTCTACCCCAGCCCAAACCAGCACAGGGTTGTCCTGTACAAACCATTTGTTTTTGAGTCAAGGAAGAGGAAAATCTCCCAGTGTTCCCAATGTAAGCCTGAGGATGTTGCTATGCTGCTGGAAAAATGCATAAATATCCAAGATCCATCTTCAGCTCTTCTTGTCATTTCTTTGGAGCAAAGATTCCAGGAAATGAATCTGTAGGAAATACAGATTATAAGTAGATTCCCAGACCCTGTATCTTGCTGCAGCCAAAATCCCAGCAGAATTCAGATGGCTATGAGCAAGGTGGGGTAGGAAGGGACAGCCTGAGCAACCTGGTTTAGTAGAAGGTGTCCCTGCCCATGGCAGGGGGTTGGAATGAGATGGTCTTAAAGCTCCCTTCCAACCCAAACCATCTTGTGATTCCATGATTCTGTGTGACACATCCTGTGGCACTTGTCAGCTGGAAGTGAAGGGTGTTGGGGTGCTGTGAGCACATTGATCTCACTGGGATTCCCAGGGGTGCTGAGTCCAGCAGCAGCTTCCCAAGCTGCAGGTCATTGAATCATAAAATCATTAAGGTTGTAAAAGCCCTCCAAGATTATCGA